CCCCCCCCAAAAAAAAAAAGTGAAACCTGAAACAAAGAAAACCAGAATTTGTACTCAGCACATTTGCACCAGTGTTGATTTAAATTTTCATTATTAACAAACAGAGCCTTATTTTTTTTTGTACCTGATATTTTGCATCCATTTGTTTGTAATAATGGTTTGTTATCCTATTAGTACAAACTTTGCACTTTTTTTGTCTCATTTGCATTCACTGGTGTGCAAATTTTGCATCTCACTTTCCTCCTGCATCAGTTCTCTCTCATATTAAAGGGGGACCTCATCTTCTTGGCTGCTGCTTCCTAGCTCATTCCTAAACAAATAACCCTTCTCCAACCGCCATTCTCTTTCATATAAGGTGAAGACCATAACATTTTACTTCCTACTTCACTTCTTATAAACAAATAAGATAAAGTCATATCTAAAATAAACTAGAATTTACACCCAACTTATTTGCATTCCCATGCATTTACACCAGTGCAAATAGAACTGAGACTTAAAGTTGCAAAAAAAAACGTACCTATCTGAGCTTTCTAGTTTCCAAGGCAAGCGGATACAATCTATAAATGGTTTTAATAAAACTGAAGTTGTGGGGGTTGTGTTGTATAGCTACAATTCATCTCATCCGGCAACCTCCGGTTGTAGTTGTGTTACGATAAGAATTGACATGGAACCAAATTTGGCACCTAATCTCCTGTTGGTGTTGAGGCGTGTTAAAGAACATAAACTTGTACCGAGTCCAAAGGTAGAGCTTCACCACGATTCTGAAGGTGCCTTCCTTCTCTTCTCTGTTGAAATCTTCAAGTTTGGAACTGTCCCTTAATGCAGTCGAGCTCCCAGTGAAGACAGGATTGAGAAAAGTTGCCGCCGTTTTGCCTTGAAAGAAAGGTGTTGAGTAGGTTACATTTCCAATCTTTTCTCCATGGTAGTAAGCTACAGCCTCAATCTGATCATAGTAGACACCAATCTTCTGGTTTAAATTCTGCACAGTGATGTTGAACGTGAAGTTGTAGTGGAGAACGTTATCTGTAGAAACATTGAATTCCACGAAATTAGGGCTATAGACATGGTATTCGACCACCCCACCAGGGGGAACTAATAGCCATAAGTAGATGAATGTAGTGAGGACTATGAGCCAGACGATTAGTATGCAAGGGTTGTGCAGGATGTTAATTAGCCCAAGTCTGGAAGAGATTCTAGCCATCTATATCTATGTCAGAGAGAGAGAGAGAGAGAGAAATGAATTGCTTTGGTTGAAGTGTTTGCTGATAATATCTTTGTTGAGAATTCATTTTAAGGAAGAATGAACGCGTTTGCTTCAAGGAGCTAGTTTAACTTCTATGTTCCTACTCTGTATTCGAGTTTGGATCAAGTCCCAACAACCGGTCCCAACAGCCTTGTCATAGAGGATAAGGGAGATGTTCCCAATGCATGGTTATAAAGGCTGTTGTGACCGGTTGTTGGGACCCTTGTGGGACTAGATTCGGTATCATATGTTTTGTGTGCTGGCCTAGGCCTTTTTAGTTTTTTGGGTAAAATACAAAAACCTCCCCTGAAGTTTCTGATAATCATAAAAACCTCCCTTATAGTTTCATTTTAGTAAATACCTTCCCTTTATTTTTGAAAAAAATCAACAAATACCTCCCTTCCTTCAATGAGCAAGACAGAAAACGTTAAAGAGATGATAATTTTTTTCAAACTACCTATTTTACTCTTTTATAGATTAATGTGCATCTATTTTCTTCCTTACGACACCCAGCGGCAGAATAGCGGTGCACTCCATAATCTGCTCGAGAAATCTATAGGTTCTCAAGGAAAAGTACTAGAAAAGGTCATCCCTTCCTCTTTAAAACCTTTGTAGACCCTTCTTATCAAACCAGAGTTTCTTGCCTCACTGGGTTTCTCTTATCTCTTCTCTCAGATGATGAAGAGCTTTGGCAAATCTGCAATCTCTGGCTCTCTACTTGAACGTTCTCTTGTGTCGGCTCTAACAGTGCTCGGCTTTCAACTCTTCACCTACTTGAACGTTCTCTTGTGCCGAATCCGCCGGCTGATGGAAGCCGAGACCCCACCTACCCATTATCAGTAATGAGTGGGGTGGTAGGATTTCTGAAAGATCCGGCAGGTGCCAAGCCTACAACAAAAGTTCTACTGGCATTATGCCTGGCAGAATGCAATGGCAACGTGGTCATGGAGGCAGGAGCGGTTGCAGAGGTAGTGGAGCTAGAAGGATCGGCAACAAAGGCGGGAGCGGTTGTAGAGGTGGTGGAGACAGTGGCAGAGCTAGAAGAATCAGCGGTAGAGGCGGGAGTGGTTATAGAGGTGGTGAAGACAATGGCAGAGCTAGAAGGATCGACAACAGAGATGTAACAAGATGGTAACGAGATCGGCACAGAGGTGGGAGTGGTTGCTGAGATGGTTACAAAGATGGCGGGAAGAGGGAAAGAGCATGGGAAGTGATTTTTGGAGGGGGTGGCTCCGTCGGAGGAGGTTGGTCGAGCAGTGGTGCTAGCGCTGTAGGGAGAGTGCAACACAAGGGCAAGGAGGAAGGGGGCCCAAATTCGATGCTTCAAGAGAATGGGCGACTAGATCTGACAGAGGACAGGCGCTGATGAATGTTGATGGACTTTTGCTTATTTTGGCATAGAGGAGTAAAGTGGGCTGCAGGTGGTCCGCGCAAAGTACAAGCCGTGCCGTGTTCGCCTGCGGGCCGTGCCGCCATCCCCGATGAAAATTTTGGGGGTCGGTCCATCACGGCCCACGGCCCAGGCCCACATGGGCCCATGCTGTTTTGCAGGCCAAGCTAGCTTGTGGGCCAAGCCTTGGCCCAAGTTGGGCCTTGGACCAGGTCAAAGCTATTTTTGCCTATTTATTTAAAAAAATAAAAAAAAACTTAAAATTTTAATTTTATATGAATTTTGATGTATACAATTGCTTATATATACAATAATTAAATAAATTAGTATAATAAAATTGAAAAAATTGTTTATTTTATTAATATATTATATACTATATATTATTATATAATTATAATTTATATAATATATAATATATTATATATATAAATATATAAAATATATAAATATTATGTATATATAAATAATATATATGGGTCGTGCCAGGCTAGGCCACGGGCAGTGCGGCCCGTTTGATCGTGCCATGCTGTGTCGGCCCGTGGACTTCAAACCCCAGGCCCAACATGACACGGACCATCATGTCGGGCCGGTCCAAAATCGTGCTTACACCTCTAGGAAAATTGCAGATGTAGAATAGAGAGAGAGAGAGAGAGAGAGAGAGAGAGAGGGAGGGAGTGGTCCGAATGGAGAGAAGAAAAAGAAAAGAAAAACCCCCATTTTTTTGGGTAAAATACAAAAATAGATGCACATTAATTTGTAAAAAGGTAAAATAAGTATTTTGAAAAAATGTCATATCTTTAACGTTTTCCATCTTGATTATTAACGGAAGGGAGGTATTTGTTGATTTTTTAAAAAATAAAGGGAAAGTTTTTATGATTGTCAAAAACTTTAGGAGAAGTTTTTGTATTTTATCCTAATTTTTTTAGGCTTTTTTGACTTTTTTGGATTGCTTGGTGTGTTGGGGTATTTGGTTTGTGTTTGGGTTCGTGTCAGTGGGGCCTTGTTTCAGCAAAATTGTTATAGTTTGGAGTATCAGGTATCAGTCTTCTTTGGATGAACCTCCCCTCTTGGAATGTATACATTCGTTCTTTCTTTTCCTAATAATTAATGGATACTTTCATAAGTCTCATCTTCAATCGGCAGATATGTTATTTAGGTGGGTTAGAGATGGAGATATCCTATTGAATAAGTCCGACTGAGATGACCCAAATGATTGTATTGTAGCGGTTGTACTTAATCCTTTGCTAGGCTTATGAGGCCAATGTGTTCTGCTTATATTACGTGTAAAGTTTGTAATTCCACATTTTTAATGTAAAGAAGGACCTAACACTTTCGTCATTTCTTCTCCTTTTCCTTTTTCTTATCATGTTTTTCATTTCAAAGAAAGCCTCCAATGCGTAATGGATTAGAATTTGAGTCCGGTTGAAATCCTCTAGTTTAATTATTTTTCTTGTTCTTATATATGTTGAAGTCATTAATTTGTTTGTGTTTGGTTTGTCAGAAAACTGAAGGACAAGCTTACCATGCATTTGTGTGAATTCGTGCTGGGCCCATTTGGCATCACTTTGAAGAATTGATTCTGGTGATTCTCGCAACTCTCTGGATGAGAATTAATATTGTTTGGTTATACAATTTTTCTAAATTTTGGATTCTATTTGGAATAGAAAAACATGATCAATGGCTCATTTCTCAAAAGTGATATTTTTTTTTCACTTCTAAGAATTCGATTCTTGCAATCAAATGATTCTAGCTACATTGTTTAAGTAAAATGAGCAGATAATTAAGATCAATTTATCCATTATCCATGAGAAAAGGGGTATTACATATGGTAATTTTATACAAAAACATAACATCAGCTGAAAAAGCCAGGCTAGATCTGCTGTCCACAAGTTGTTCCCACATCTTTACCCACAGGAATATTCAGCTGACCTAACTAGTATTTAGGAATATCTACCTTGTCATTCATGGGAAGATGTTCCCAATACGGCAGTGGTGTTCAGTGGGTAGAGATCTAGCTAGGAACAACTTGTGAGTTGCAGATCTGGAGTGGAAAAAGTCTATCCCTCCTCTCATTCTGTGATCTTGCTTCTTGCTTCATTCTCTCTTTGCTCAATGGCTCTCCTTTTGCTCATTGGAGGTTATCTTCTCTGTCAATGGTCATTCTATTTTTGTTTTCATTTGGTTTGTAAAAGCTATTCTCTCAAACCTTTTTTTTTCTTCAAATCGTCTTTTCAATGAGTTTTCCTTCAATATGTGGTGTGGTAAGGTTACGTTCAAATCTGATTCAATCGGTTTTTCCATACCATTCTTTTTTTTGTTTGTACGCGTATGTGTTTGAAGACATTTGAATCTCTGTTCAGTGTGTGAAGAAACTAGGGGTGAGCAAATGGGTAGGTTCTACCTGGAAGCGAATGGAACCAGCCTTGAACCCGCCTTGAACCGACCCTATCCAATCTGTTACAGGGTAGGGTCTAGTTCCAAATTCTTAGAATCGACCCCTACCCAGGCCGGTTCTAGGGTCTGGGGGTTTACCCTACCTGAACCGACCCAATGAATCGACCTGAGTTGGCCTTAGTGGAACTGACTTTGGTGGAACTTGCCTTGGAGCCGAACTTGTCTTGAAATAAACCCCCAAAACAAAATACTTGTAGGGATGTGAAGATTTAACCTAAGCATTCATGGTTACAAAGGCTATGGTCACACTCAAACATTTAGTTACTTAAGTTATTTGATCATTTTTTCATTTTAATATTTGAATGTGTACATTAAGTAATGTAAAAGGTAATATTTATAAAATTTAAATTTAAATTATAAGTTTTGAACCATAAAACGATACTCAACATATTAATTAAGTTACTCAATTTAATCAAATAAAGATAATACAAGTTTTAAATTATATATTATATTTATTGAATATCATGTTTTAAAGAACATGCTTCTTTTTTTTATTTTTTTTGAAGGGGGAGTAAAGAAAAATAGGTTTCATAGATAAACCCTAGAACCAACCCCGGAACCACCAAGGCCAAAACCGACCCTAGAACCAACCTTCACAGGGTAGGTTTTGATTCCAAAAACTTGGAACCAACCCCTATAGGGTAGGCTCTAGGTTCTGCCATGAAACTAAACTGAACTGACCCATACTCACCCCTAGAAGAACCCCTTTTGAATGGGTTTCTTTATATGGGATTATATCTGATTATTGGTGGTAATGTGGTATCAAAACTGATTCAGCATCAGAAATAGAGAGTAGCACTTTGTTTTATTATTAACTGACTTTTTTTTTTCGTTTTGTGAATGAATCTGTTCAAATACTTGGTGAACTTTCATTTAACTTTTTTATTGAGATCTTGCATTCGGTTGCTTCCTTTGTCTCATGAACAGTTGGGGGTATCTGTTTTTAGTATCATATATGCACCTTTGTGAGCTAAAGAAAATTTCAACAACAAACCTTGTTTTGATCTCTGTTTTTAGTGTCATATCTGCGTACTATACTTCTTCAAATGTCTTAACTTATTGATTGAATTTAAAGATCAAAATATTTGAATAAATGCTATTTGTAATTATCAACCTTATATGATATGATATTATTAAAATACTCTAAATTAATTTTTATAACTTGCACGAAAACCAAGGTAACATCTATAGTATATACTAAAATAAATTGATCAAAATCAGCAAGCTTTTCCTTCCTCCATTTCCCCACTACATGGTAGCATATACGAATGCCACGTGGAAGCATATGTACATTAATGTATTCAAAGACTCGTGGTATGCAATATCGTTAACTTACTTTGATATGTCATGGGATATTCATTTATACTACTATGTGGTATCCACACACACACATACACACACATATATATGCATACCATTGATTTACCTTCGAATGCCACATGACATTTCCATATTATTAACTTATATTTAGATGCCACGTGGCATTTTCATATATAAAACATTTTATTATATTCAAACACTATCATGTGCTTTGCTTTGAAAATCATGTTTTACAAAAATTTTTACTCAAATGGTTTTTGAAGTAAAAGTATGAAATCAAAAGTATATAATATACTTTTTACTTTGATACTGTTGAAAATACAAAACACAAAGTACTGCGAAATAGGGCCTTAATTGTTGGGTTGTTAACCAAGTCAATGACTTTGTATAGACACACACACAAGTGGTTTAGGCTGAAAGAAAACAAATCCACTACTATGCTATGCTTCGATCTTGGCTTTAGCACATGTTTTAATAAAATAATGAAATCATAGTGTAGTAGTGGATATGTTTCCTTTCGGCCTAAACCACTTATGTGTGTGTGGCTTGAGAGAGTTGAGTCTGAGTTTGTTCCAGATTGAGTAGAATTGGTTCCAAATTAATAATAATTAGGGCAATAGATCAGGAGCTAGAACCGATTCATTAGTACCAGATCTTGGAACTAGAATTGGCCCAATCAATTTGGGTCTATTGGATCAAACCCTAACCCATTAATAGCCCTACTGGGTTGGGCCTAAGGCTTGAGCCCAATTGAGCCAGATGTCAAGCACGATCTTTCCAATGCAGACCTTGTCCAAATTGAAATTGACATACTTGGGTTAGGCTTCGGCCCAAACCCAACCTAATTATCATTCACTAATTTAAATATGTAAATAGGAATTGTGTATGTATGTATGTTTGTATATATGCATGTATGATTGGTTATAAGTATCAATATTAGGGGTGAGCAAATGGTTAGGTTCTACCCAGAACCAAATGGAACCGACCTCAAACTAGCCTTAAACCAACTCTACCCAGGCTGTTATAGGGTAGGGTTTCCAAATTCTTGGAACCGATCCCCACCTAGGCCGGTTCCAAGGTCTAAGGGTTTACATTGCCCAAAGTGATCCGATGAACCGACCTTGCTTGGCTTTGGTAGAACTGACCTTGGTGGAACCAGCCTTGGAACCAAACATACCTTGAAATAAACCCCCAAATACTTTTGAGGGATTTAAACCCAAGCACTCATGGTTACAAAGGTGATGGTCTCACTTAACCATTGAGTTACTTAAGTGATTTGATCATTTGATTTTATTTTAATATTTGAACATGTATAATAAGTAATGTAAAAGGTAATATTGACAAAATTTAAATTATAATGATAAGTTTTAAACCATATATTAATATGTTATGGTAATCTATATGTTAAATTACTCAATTTAATCAATAAAGATGATATAAAATTTAAACTATATGTTATATTTATTGAAAATCAAGTTTTTAAAGAACATGTATTTTTTTAAGGGAGAGAATAAAATAAAGAATAGGTTACACGAGTAGACCTTGTAACTGATCCGAAAACCACCAAGGCCAAAACTGACACTAGAAACGACCTTCACATGGTAGGTTCCGGTTCCAAAAGCTTGGAACCACCCTATAGAGTAGGTAGGTTCCAGGCTCTACCATGGAACCGAATTGAATTGGCCCATGCTCACCCCTAATCAACATGTGTGTATCCATGTATGTGGTTGAGCTGGGTTTGGATTGGACTAAGGTCAGACTCGGCACGGGCTGGGCTTGGGTTACCTACGGATTGGGCCCGAGCCCAGCCCGTAAAATATAAAAAAGCCTGCGATTTTGAGCCCAAGCCCAGGCCGAAGACTGAAATCTAAGCCCAGCCCCGTACAAAAATGCAGACGGAATTGGCCTGGGCTCGAGTTGGACCCGACCAAGCTGCACCCCTACCTTCCGATCGAACCGTTGACGGCCCAAAACCAATTGGGACACATGATTTTACGTAATAATAGATTTTAAAAGAATACATCTAAGGAGTGAGAAAATTTTGATTACGAAGACCAAAACTTCGATTGAAATTTTATTAACCGGAAATACTTTCTACTAACTTATTACCCAAGAAATCTAAGTCAATCATATACACATGTAAGCATTTTGTAATCATATCTAATGTCATTTCCAATCAAATAAAGAAAATGAAAATAAAAAACTAAGGGGTGTTTGCCATTTTCCAAGGTTATGTTGATGTGTGCAATCGTTTTTGTTTTGAAAATCATGGTTCATGTATGTATACACATTGACAACGGGACTACTTGTACAGGGCTCATGCTTGATAAATCCTGAAGCCCATATTCTTGTTAACAATTTTTGAGATCCATCCAAGTATAATTATAGAAGGAGGTTCTCAATTGGTAATTAACAATCTATGAGGCATTGAAGATCCACCTTGGAGCATCAAGATGATCGTTGAAGAGTTCCATTTTCTTTGTTTTAAATTCAGGCCGAACTCTATTTATTCTCATATATTTTGAGAAGCAAATTTTGCTGTATAATGCTGGCTTGCTAATTTAGGGGGTGTTGTTTTTCTTGTAGAAAAGCAAAATTGTATTGTTTTAGCTGATGTGGCAGTTGTTTTGTTTGTGATACAGTTACTTTTGTTTTCAAAAACAAAATTAACCATATTGTCTAACAGCCCCTTAGGGCCCGTTTGGTTGGTGGGAATAAGGGTCTAGAATTGGAATTGGAATAGGCCATTCTGATTTCAACTGTTTAGTTGAGCAGAATTGGAATCCCATTCCAACTCCTGATGGAATGACATTCCCCATTTGAAGAAATGGTCATTTCCTCCCCCCCTCTCTCTTGAGAATGAAATCCCATTCCAGCTGATTCCAAGTCCCATTCTGATTCTTATATGTAGAAAATAGGTTATGGGAGTAGTTCATTCCCATTCCAATTCTGATTGTGAATAGGAATGCAAATGGATCGATACTATGAAGAGCATATCCGGTCGGATCTCACAAATAGGGATTTGATTTCGAATTTGATGAGGAAGTCGGATATTTGAATATGATCCGATCCAATTTAATTTTTAATAAATTAATAACTTATTACAAGAAAAATAAAATATAACAATTCAAATAAAGAAAAACAAAAAATACAAGTATCTTTTCAATTATTTTCATCATATATATACATGCTTTTTATAAAAAATAAATAATATAACAAATTTACAAAAAGACAATATAAATAATATATTTATAAATAAATAACATATATATATATATATTATCAGATCAGATAGAGGTGATCCAAATTTGATTCGATTTCCAAATTTGATCCGATCCATTTGCACCCCTTTGTGAACCAACCAAACCCTTATATATTCTCTCTCACTTAGCCTGAAAGTCTCTAAAAGAGTTTGTTTCAAGAAATTGTATGGACCCATAGTCAAAAGCCAATAGGAGTTTAAAATGTCTAACATGTAAGTTATGCACAACAGATCCACAGGCACAAGATAAGAAGCACGTTCAATGAGCACTTTATAAATATTCTTACAACTGTTAAATATTATCTTTAATCTTTTTCAAGGGTAGATTGAGGGTATTTCAAGGGACAAGTGTCAAAAAAAATTTTAAGTACTCATTAAACGTGATTACAATTCATGCATGCCAATCTCATCCGGAATCGTGTGCAGCTGCTGTATATTTTTACGACCTGGATTAGGCTGGTCAGTGACCAGCCTGGCCCATGCCCATTACATTGCATGGGTTGAGAATATCTGGACCCGACAATCAGCCCGTAAACAGTAGAGCTGTCAACGGGTCGGATTTGTTTCACGACAGGCTGTACCAGCCCCAATTGATTATTAATCGGTCCATAATATGGATCCTGATCCAGAACGAGAACCAATTTTTAATCGGGATAAACGGGTCAGACCCTATTAGATCTGATTATATTTGATATTTATAATTATCTATTATAATAATTAACTTAAAGCTTTATTTTTAATAAATATAATCATAATAAAAATGACAGTTAATAGTAAAATAATTAAATTGATAAACTAGTTTTTTTAACCAAAACTGTCTTATATACCTAAAATTTAGATGTCTAGACAAAATGAAAATAAAATTATAAAAAAAATCATGAGATATTTATATACCACTAACCATATAATCGGTTCGATTGGCTGGATTCTGTCAGGTAGACCCGACCCCATTCACGGATGACTGCACAATTACTACATTGACGACATGTTCAAAGAGAAGAATTAAGACAACAAGAAAAGGAGTTAATTAGCAGAAGAATTTCCCAATCCCCATCTATCTTCTTTAATTAGTTTCTTTTCCTTGTACAGACGACATAATAAATTAATGAAGCTAATAATCTATCAAAATATTAGTCATTAGATGGAAGGAACGACCCAGCAATTAATAATTTAATATTATAAAACTGAAAAAAGACAGCATCTCAATTAAAATTTCGTTACTAGAAATTAAGTATAATTTAATAGATACATATATAGTCAAAATCGCAGGGACAGAATTAAAATATGAAGGAGAAAGAACAAGAACCAAGCAAGGCACGCAGGAGAACAAAAAAAAAAAAAAAAGAAAAATGAAAGAATGATCAGATTTGAGGCAAAAAGATGATCAGAAGTTGACATCACACTTGGTGCTCTCGAACCGTGTAGCCAAGGTTGTTGCATTGGAAGAAAGAGGAATCCTCAATTCGCACTCAATCTCTGGCTTGATGCGCCTAGTCTTGATTGATCCAATCTTGAATCTAATTCGAGAGTAGATCTTAACATCGATATAGAACAACCCACTACTCTTCTCGGCATCAAAAGTCAAGATATCTGATCCATCAAGGACTACCACCGGCTGTCCATGGAAGTTCACAGGGATATTAGTTGTGTTCTTATGGCCTTGGTAGAAATGAGGAAGATTGTCCCAGGCGAACCTCTCTCCTTGGTAGGAAGCTACAGCTTCAAGCCTATCATAGTAAATGCCAATTCTCTTGTTTGGGTTCCTCACAGCCATGTTCAAGGAGAGGTTGTAATTTAGTGTGTTGCCATTTGTGAGATTGAATTCGCTGAGATCAGCTGTTACCACGTAGAACTTCATTTTGTTTGGGCGCAGGACCAGCCATAAGACGAGCACTGTAATGCCAAGAGCGACACAGATTGCGATCAGAACTTTCATGAATGTGCTAAGCACACAGCAGCAGACTGGGCGCCTGCGGTAGGAGTAGGATTGCTGAGGGGGGATTGGAGGTCCGTAGTAAGCTCCATTTAGATGGGTTTCTTTTGCTTCAAACATGGTGAAGAGAGAAACCGAGAGAGAGAGAGATGGGATCCCTGGACGTAAAGAAATTAAGCTTCAGAGGTGCAGGTGTTCGAGCTGTGACTTGTGAGAGGAGGTGGAGCAGCAGCTATATATAGATTATAGAGAGAGCCTTTTGACAAACGCATGTTTTGGGAATTTGGTCGGCCTGCGTGTTTTGATAACGTGTGGAGAGGAAATTGTAGTTTGAAAGATGGAACAAGCTGTGAGAATTTGATGCAGGAAAGAAGAAGAAGAAGAAGAGAGGGAAGAAAGTTCGTAATCTAGAAAAGATGGAAGGTTCGAGGTTTGGTAGAGACGACGTCACGCTGTCGAGCCTCAGGCCCTTTCTGCCTACTGAGCCTCTCAATGTTGATTTCCGTCATTGACTGACTCGTTGGATTTGGGATTGGGAACCAGCAGTCTTCATTGATATTTTATTTCTGGGCTAAAGCGTTTTGACTACATGGTGGGATGGACGGTCCGACGCCGATGTCTTCTTGTCCACTCACGCGGCTGTATGGCGTTCGGGGCCATGCCATTAATTGGGTCCCACTTGAGCATGATGAAGAGTCTAGTCTAAACCATTTTGGAGAATCAACCGGTTCGTGGTTCACTTGGACCTCCGGCCGGTGGCTGAAGTTGTGGTTTGGTCTAGGTAAACTAAAATAATTAATTCATTCCCTTTTTGTACATAACAAAGCTTTGACTTGGACATGGTTTTTGTTTGTAAAAAAAAAACAAAAACAAAAACTGATTAACTTTGTTGTGTGGGTCGATTGGTTGTAAGTGGTTCGGGTAGGGGTGGACCAATATACGTACTATGTAGCATGGTTTTCAAAATCGGACCGGACTGGATAGTCAGACCAGAAAAACTGGAAACTGGTCAGGTGATCGGTTTCGGTTTTCTCCAAAACCAGAAATTTGCCCAAAACTGTTGATTTTGGTCAATAAACTTCTGACCCGGGCAGTTAACCATACGAATTGTTTGAATGGTTTTGACCGTTTTTATTTTTTTATCAAAACGGATCGATCGTTCGATTCAAACAGTTAAACCGTTCAACCCGATAACCGAACCCCTAACCAATTCGATCTCCGGATCGTTTCTAAAAACCATGCTATTTAGTAGGGGCATAACTGCATAAGTTGGTGTGGATAATAACTAGGTGTATTGGGTCTGGGACCATTGTGAACATTGTAATTAGGCTATCATTTATATGAGTGGTTGTTATGATTAGATAAATAAATAAATATCAATTATACACATACGTTGATTTATGAATTCATACATACTAGCGGAGCGGCCTGATTTGTAGGGGTAAAGGTAAGTGGTTTGTCAAAGGTAAATTATTATATAGGAAAAAATTTTACGAAAAGTAAATTTTTTAATTAAAAAATTATTAGAAATTGATATATTTAAAATAAATAAAAATTTATGGATAATAATATATTTATTTTAATAAAATGAAATAATAAATAAATAAATAAATAGTCACGGTCGCAGGTAATAGAGTGAAAGAGGGAGAGATGACTTTTGTCATTATTTTTGTTTTATATAGTAGAATAATTGTAAATAGTTAAATAATAATTCATTTAATTTAATAAATAAATAAATTTATAAAATAAATGAGATAATAGACAATCAAGTGAGATATTAAATATATACACGACTCTATGTCTTACTTTGCTGGCAATAATAATTTGTTAGATTATTAAATTATTAACTAATTAAATAATTTAGTAAAATAAGTAAATAAATAAATAAAACTTTATGTATTATCAACACAAGATTGGTAAGGCTATCTCAACTTATTTAATAATTAATTTAGTATTGTTAATGGGTTGGGCTAAACTACTGGGCTACCGAGCCCATGAATAGGCTTAGCCTGGTTCATGGCCCAGCTTGGCCTAAGACTTGACCCATAGACCAGCCTGGCCCATGGCATGGTAGGGGCCCGTGTGGGTTCGAGCTAAAATAAAATTTGAAGATCTTCTTTAACTTTTTGTCTATTTTTCTTAATTTAAGTTAAAATTTTCATTATTTTTTTTTAAATGTTTATAAAACATGGCTTAGCCTGGTTCATAGACCTGTTCACGGGTCAGGTAGCCCAACAGGCCGGCTTAGTATTTTTTGTGCTTGGACAAAATTTCAAGTCCATGGGCTCAGGCTTGGGCTTTATATACCGGGCATGACTATTTTTCAAGTCTGGCCCGATACTATTACATATAATAGAAATATACATTATTTATATAATAAATATATATAATATGTATTTATTTATAAAATTATTATCAAATATTAATTTACTATTAAGGAAATATGAATTAATTTGTTAAATTATTTCCAAATTAATATAATAGTAGTTTATTAAATTACACCAAAAATATGAGATTTTATGTGCAGGCTAGGCTTCGAGCCTTACATGGGTTGGGCTCAGGCTTAGGCCTAGACATTTTCTATTGATAAAGAGGGAGAGCACGGCCTGAACTTGAACCATGAACAGGTCTATCGATTCATGGCTCGGCCTGGCCTAAGACTTGGCTCGTAGATCAACTTGGCCCATGGCACGACACGGACCTGCGTAGGCTTGGGCCATATATTATATACAATAAGTATATAATATATTAGTATATGTAATTTTATTTTTAATATTATTATATTATTTCATTTTGTTATTGCATATATAAACAATTGTATACATTAAGATATTTTTTAATGTTTTATCTATTTTTTTGATTCATGTTAACCTTTTCATTATTTTTTCGAAAATAAAAAAAAAACATAGATAAGCCTGGTTCGTCGCTCGACCTGGGTTAAGACTTGGCTCGCAACAGGACACAAGCCTACACGGGCTTGGGCTGAGGGTTGTGCTGGGCCGACCTCCTAAAGTATCCCATCAGAGGGAAGCATGGCCCACATGGCATGGCCCAACACGGCCCGATTGTAAATAAAATGAGAGGTAAAGACAATTTTAACAAATATGGAAAATGTAGAAATTTAGTGGCATCATTGTAAATAGTTAGCCGTAGAAATCGACAAGACCCCCCTTTTAACAACTATTATGCATTTTTTTTTTCTTAATATAAAAGTTTTTTATTAAAGGTAAAGAAAAAAAATGAAATCCCCCCTTCCTCCTCTTAAGGAAGTTTATGCCTCTTGCATTCTGAACTATGCTGCACGCCTCTACGTAGTGGAATTCCTCTGTGTTTTAAAACATTGATAATTTTTTTAGTTTTTAGAATAAAATATGCAAAATAATTATTTCATATATTATGTCCATAAATTCATTCAATTTTTTGTTACATATTTACTTTTCTTAATTTTAATTTAATTTTTAGAATAAAACATGCAAAATAATTATTTGAATAAAAATAAATAATTATTTAGCTTTTAGAAAATTCGAATAAAACATGCAAAATAATTACTTGATCTATTATGTCCATAATTAGATAGTATGTTTCTATTCCCAACTTCCCGTTTATTGATTATAATATGTGATAGGTCCCAGTCAAAGCTAGAGAGAGATAGAGTATTCTGCTTAGGGCGAGAATAGGCCACAAGAGGTTTATTAACTTTCAACTGCCCATCCATGTGGTGGGGTGGTGTTTAAATACATAAACTTCTTAACTTCCTACCACTGAAATAGCCTTAAAGTAAGGGATTAGCCTTCTAAATATATGGCCTATCCCTATGCCTTCTCATGCTAACAACTTAACAGAAATAACAAATAACTTATTTGACTCAATCTTGCTTAAGACCATCTAACAACATGCTTAAGACTAGCTAACAATCAACAACTAACTGCTTGACCGATTCTTGTGGCTTGACCGAATCCTTCTCTATTGGGTACTGCTCTACTGGGTTGTTGCATGGGCCATGCATGATAGGCTGGCTTTGCATGGGTCATGCATGCACATTATCAGTCCACGTACCTTGGGTTACGCGTGGGTACCCTATTCGATCTTCTCGGCCCATCATTGCCCCCATCCTAAAGATGGACCTTGTCCTCAAGGTCCAGATTGAGATACTTCTTGCGCAACTCTTGGGAATTCTCCCAAGTGGCATCTTCGTTAGGAAGGTTCTTCCATTGGACAAGACTTTCCTCTACGAAAGTGGATCCTTTCTTCACCCAGCGGGTATCTAGAATGGCTGCTGGTTTGGTGATGAGTTCTCCCTCCTCGTTTATGGGTGGTAAGTCGGTGTTAGTGGCAGTGGTGTCGTCCACCTGTTTTTTGAGTAGGGAGACATGGAAAACTGGATGAATGCGCGAGCCCTCGGGAAGTTGCAGTTTATAGGCTACCTTGCCTATTCGTTCCTCCACTAGGTACGACCCATAATAGCAACTGACCAGTTTGTGATAGGCCCGCCTATGAACCATCCGCTGTCGGTATGGGTGGAGCTTGAGAAAGATTAGATCGCCCACTTGGAACTCAACATCTCTTCTTTTAGCGTTAGCCATTTGGGTCATGCGGTTAATGGCCGCATGTAAGTTTACTTTGAGTTGCTGCAAAATGGCATCGCGAGAGAGCATGGCTTTATCTACTTCTTCTACTGGGGATGTTCCACCTTGGTAATTTGGAATACGAGGTGGAGGTCTTCCATATAGTGCTTGAAAGGGGGTCATTCCGATAGAGGAATGATAGGTGGTGTTATACCAAAATTCGGCCCATGGCAGGAAGGATTTCCACTTCCGAGGTTGCTGAAAAACGAAGCAACAAAGATACTGCTCTAGACAACGGTTGACCACTTCTAACTGTCCATCAGTCTGGGGGTGATAAGCGGAGCTCATCTACAATTTGGTACCAGACATCTTAAAGAACTCCCTCCAAAAGTGGCTGATAAAGATAGGGTCTCTGTCACTAACTATCGTCTTGGGCATACCATGCAGCTCCACAATGCCTTCTACAAACCTTTCAGCTACTATCTTTGCCGTATAGGGGTGTGGTAGGGTCAGGAAATGAGCTGATTTAGTGAGACGGTCTACTACCACAAAAATAGTGTTTTTGCCTTTGGAGGGTGGTAGTCCTTCTATGAAGTCCATGGTAATGTCGTCCCATACTTGGCAGGGGACGGGTAATGGCTGTAACAGTCTTGCCGGGGATAGAGTG